GTCCTCCTTGTCCACACCAGAAACACTCGAAGGAAGGGCGTGTAGGTGGCCTGGGTCTCTCAGCCCTTGCAGTAGTTGAAGGCTTTCGTGGGGGTGATTGCTGTCCAGGTAGCTCTAGTTGCTGTTCGGGTTCATGTGGGGGAGGCTTCTTATAGCGAGAGAGCTTAACATCTAGCTTCACGGCTGTCTGGTACCACTCCTGCACCCGATCAGGTATTTCTCGATAGATGCAGGCCTGAGAGAGGTGATCGTCTAATCCCTCGATGAAGTAATGGATGAGGGACTGCTCAGGCCACCCCTCTATTCGACCTGCTATCTTGCAGAATTCTCACCCGTACTCCAGGGCAGGCCTCCCGGCTTGTTTTATTTTGTGAATTTGTCTTGCTGCTTTGAGACCAATGGATGGGTCCTCAAATCGTTCTCTCAGACTTAAAAGAAAGCGGTGGGGATCTTCCAATTCGGGGGCTTGCTCGCTATATAAATTGTTCAGCCATTCAGACGCCTCTCCCTCTAGGTTGGACGCAATGACATCGACCATGGCCCCTGGTTCCGGGTACAGATAGGCCCAGCATTTCAAGTGAGAATGCACTTGGTCGAGGAAAAAAATCAGCTTCTCTGGGTCCCCATCAAAGGTTGCATTGAAGGGTGGTGCGAACACAGGGTGCTGTGGCCCCCACTGGGGCTGGTTCCACGGCTGGAACATTTGCAATAGAAGGGCTGTAGGTTTCACTTTGTAGGAACTGATTTCTGGTTTTCATTTCTAAGTTTTGAAATCTTTCCAACAACTCACCCATAACTGTGTTATCTGTCCATTCTGCTTTTGAAGTCTTCGCTCTCAGCTGGGAAATCTGCCAAATTCCTCTCTCCCCAGCTTGCTGGCTGTCGCCCCCCCCCCCGGGGAAACTGTTGCAGCCACAGGGCTGGTCTCAGGCACTCAGGCAATCTTTCTTTCTCCATAATGAGATCTTCCCCGAAACTTTGCCAGCTCCTCTCAAGCATAGAGGCAGCTGATGGAGTTCGGGACTGCAGGTCGTTTGAAAAGAATGTTGGATTCTGGCATGATGTCAAAGGTTCCGACTAATGAAGCACTTCAAAGAACTTTCAGGCATGTTTCCTAAAGTCTTTATTACAGAGCTACAAATTGCTGGTCACCATCATGGACGTTTTGATGCCAGAATCTGACTTCCTCTTGCTGGCATCAAACTTTTCTTGCTAAACCCCTCCCTTATCTTGCAGTCACAAGTCACATTATCCAATTAGTGTGAAGGTCAAAAGTTTACTTCCTCTTTCTTTCCCGGGCTTCCCCCCCCTCTAAGCTATGTATTAACCCAGTAAATACCAGACAGTTTTGCATATTGTCAAAGCAAGAATATACAGTATTTGCAGCATTGACAGTTATCTGGGCCCAGATCAAGCAGTTTAGCTTGGTTACACATGGCTTCCTGGTTTATCATTCCAAAACTTAACAGAAAGATTCTGGTGTGAACGGAAGTGCAATGCACGTTGAAAAAAACGGAAGAGCTTCCAGTTGTGTAGTTATGGCTACATCCTGCTTCTTTTGACCTGCAGATACCTTGGACCGCATTTTAAAAATAAAGTTGGATTTTGTTGCATCTTTTCTGGCTGGGGATGTCACATTTGGAATTCTGAGAGCATATTACAGAAAATGTATGCCATGATGGGTCTGGCAAGTCACAAAATACCCATCTATCTAAAGGCAAATGTGTGAGGTTGCATCCCATCATCCTTCCTATCTCCCAATATCTTCTTTACCTCTTTGTTGTTTGTTTGTTTGTTTGTTTGTTTCTGTTTTTCTAGGCAGGTAAACACATTTTCAAGCTGAGCCCTGGGTTCTGGCAGTCTATAATTTTAATGGTCTAAAAATATGTCTTGGGTGTATATGGGACCCAGAATCTTCGTGAATGTAAATCTTATGTTAGAGGGTGGCATTCTGAATACAGCAGCCTCACTTTTCATTTAATTTCAAAGATCTTCATTTAATTTAAAAGAGTAACATGTTTAATTTTATTTTTAAAATAAAATAAAATTATGGGGAACATGAAACGTAACATGCACCAAGGAAGGCATCTATTATGCACTTGGTAGTTTTAGGGTGACTACAATTGGGATCTAGATTTCAGTGTAATTATGACAGTTTTTATATTGCACATTTAATTTCCCTCTGATCTCACTATAATTTTTATTGCTTAACATTTCAAATGTATAGAGAGTTAAGGAAGATGGCCTTGACAGAAATATGCAGCAACTGTTATCTAGGCAAACATTCTTTATGCCCTGAGAAAGCAGATAATATTTTGAAGTGCTACTTACAGCATATCCCAGTGATTCAATGGACTATAAGGGACAGAGTATATAGCACAATCAGAGTTGCTGGATTCTTGTATAATAGCCAACGTAAATAAAAGTAGTTTTAGAACGACTTGTGGAATTGATTTCCTGGTCTGGTCTGCCTAGCGAGGCTGACAATATGCTTGTTGTCTGTCAGACCTTAAAGATAGGGTACTGCAAGAATTCCTGGAATATTATTATTGTAGGGTAGAAAAACAGCGATCTGAAAGCCTGCCAGAGTTTCCTTTTGCTGCCTCTTATACTAAACAAACTCAAGGGGGATTAGTTTGACTTTCTTTCTCATTTGCTTCAATCTCTGTACTGTGTAATCATTTCTCCTAATCCTTCCTTAGAATTGAGACTTCCTACATAATACAGTAATATATGTATATATGTATTTTGATTATGGATTACATTACCCTAGGGCAGAGGTAGGCAACCTTGGCTCTTTCATGACTTGTGGACTTCATCTCCCAGAATTCCTGAGCCAGCCATGTTGAGGGGAGAGAGGTTTCCAAGCTGAGCCATGCTGGCTCAGGAATTCTGGGAGTTGAAGTTCACGAGTCATAAAAGAGCAAGGTTGCCTACCCCTGCCCTAGGGGTAAGAAATGCAATAAGGAATTAATGATAAGCAAGAGCATTGGGTACTAATTTTTAACAGAACTGGGAATTCTGGGAGTTAAAATCCATTCATCATAAAGTTGCCAAGTTGAGAAACACTGGTTCGAATATTAATGGAAGATTTCATTATGAGGTGCCACTACGGTAACACCACCCAAACTTTTGTTATTTGGAAAATTTCTGCTTGGGCCCTGCAAAAACAAAAGATGCAAGCTCTCTCCTAATACTCAATCCATGTCTGTCTAATGTCCTAAGATACGGAGGAAGGCAACACTGAGTAACATCTATTTCATAGTGTTTTTAAGGAAAATGTATCAAGATAAAAACAGGCCGCCCTACTGACATAAACCAATTTAACTAATAGAAGAGCTTTGAGAAATTATTTTAGAAGGCACCTCTCAGTGAAAATGCACCCAAATGATGCACCCAAAATGACAATAAACATATTGTATAGAAAAATGAAAGCATTTTCTCAGTCTTCAACATTGTGCCTACCAGCAAGAAGGGACAATGCAATATGGAAGACATTTGTTTCTTATTTAGAATTAATTAGTTCTCTGGAGTTATTAAATGACCTTGTTGGCCTGATACTAATAAAACCAGAAGCTCTAAATTTGAGTGAGAGTAATTACAGTCACTATGTTTAAAACTGTTCAAAATTAATATTGAAGAACCATATTACTATAGAATGGATTAATGATAATATTAAGACAACCATTTTATACAGTTGGAGGGAAAGAGAAAATATATCTCAGTATTCTGAACAAAAATGAAAGAGCTTCAGCATATGAAGCTTGTGTTTTCTGAATTTAAGGACAAAATTACTGCTGAAGCTTCAGAACTCTAGTAAGTAAGCATCCAGATCTAAGTTCATATATTTCTTAATTCTTTCAAAAGAAAAACAATGTAGCAGTTCCTTTGATTGGGCCCGAAAGTCTTATGGTATGCTAACTGGGTGATAAACATAAGGTAAAGGTAAAGATTTCCCTGTCCAATTTTGTCTTACTCTAGGGTGCAGTACTCATCTCCGTTTCTCGGCCAAGAAACCCATCATTGTACGAAGTCAGGTGGACAGCATGGCTATGTGCCAAAGGCACACAGAACAGTTACTTTCCCACAGAAGTGGTACCTATTTATTTACTCGCATTTGCATGCTTTTGAACTGCTAGGTAGACAGAAGCTGGGGAAAGGAACGGGAGCTCACCCTGTGGTGCTTGGGTCTCAAACCCGAGCTGTCAGCTTTCCAGTTGACAAGCTCGGCATCTTTTACCTCTGAGCCATCATGCCTTGATAAACATATGTCTAATGGAACTTGAATAACCAAAGAAAACTGCCATATTCTATGCTTTTACCTTTACAATAAGATATAAAATGCTGCTCAATGGCCTTAGTTGCCTTTCTTCAACAAGGCCTCTATTTGAAGCTCAGAGCTATCAAAATGATGTCAAATGTGTCCTGATGCCATTTGTGTGATGATGTCTTGACACAAATGACCACAGTTGCTTGCCCTCCCCCATGGACATCTATGGGTCAGTTGCTGACATCTCTTGAGCATTCAGGAACTATAGCAAACAAATTGTTCACCCTAGCAATAAATGACGCACTTTTCATCTCATTGAGCTAGAAATTGCTCCCACTTACCCAGATTCTTTTATTATGTGTAGCCAAGCCTGATCTTTCTGTTGGAGTAAAATAAGTACATTAAATCGAGTGCAAGTGTATTTATGTCTTGTTTTAAGGATATAAATGTTGCCTTTCAAAACAGAAGTTTTTCCAAGGTAAAGTACTCAGTGCCTCAACCAGGCAGTTACTGCACAACTAAAACCACCTTAACTCTAACTGAGGCAGAATGATGGAATGACATCAGTGTCAAGTTACATCAATTGCGACAGCCAAATAGAAGAAATTCTTGGTATCTAAAACATTGAGACTAAATCAAATCAGATACCACTGATCCATACAACCAGGAATAAAATGTTACAATTCTCTCTTTTAGCAGGAAGGAAGTAGGAAAGTCTTATATGCTATACCCGTAGTGTGGTAATTGTGGTGGGATCTCGAATGCGTCCATCTTCATCTTTGAGATTATAGCCCTCTGGTCTTTTATCTCGTTCACTGACTTTCCATAGTTTCACAGTTTTATCTGGAAGAAAATCAGAACGCTTCACTGATTTATTGAATGATTATGCATTTTGTAACAGTTAGGATTTATTGTTACTTATCACTTGCACAATTCATCAACAGTGACCTTTTTAGTTATTTTATCACTGCTACCATCTTCTATGTGGGAGAACGCAGATGAAGTGTCTTAAGAGAACCAAAGACTATGGGAAAATGAGAAATGTGTAACTGAACCTTGTCAATTGCCGTGTTTTTTTAAAGTTGGCAACTTTATGATATATGAACTCCAATCCCCAGAATTCCAAGCCAGTATGCTGGAGGAAATTCTGGGAATTGAAGCCCAGATATCTTAAAGTTACCAAATTTGAGAAACACTGATCTATTGGATCACATTAATTAAGCAATACCTTAAGAGGCTGAAGCCCAGAGACTTCTTCAAGTGCAGTAGTGGCCAAAATCGTGTAAACCTTTTAGGAAAAGTGTACAGTAGAAATGCCACCTTTAGTTAAGTTTCCACCAATTTTTCTTCTAATTTCTTTATAACTGTAGCCTTGTTCACTTAATACTATTTTACATTGCTTTCTGGGCGACCAGTCAACTCTTTACACCATTATTTTAATTTTATTATGTTTTACAAGCTCACTAAATGAAAGAACACAAAAAAACCCAACCAACTTGATAGCGATCACATAACACACTGACAAATGTCCTCCTCTCAGCTTCAATACATGACATCAATAATGGAATCCCACTGTGATCTGATTGGCTCATTGCCAAAACAAGATGACACCTGATTGGCTCTCTAAACACTGATGCTCATTGGCTACAATCAGATAAAGGAAAGCTACCTGATATCAACCTAAGCAAGTTGTGCTTCCTTTTTCTGGTTATTTGACTATAACTTTTCATAGAATACAGTACAGATAATTGAACATACTTTGTTGCTTGATTAAAACAAAAAAGAACAGTAAGAGACTCTCTCCAAACTAAGATAGTGCATGATCTTCAGTTTCTGTGGCATTCATGTCCTATTTACAGATTGTCTCATTATCACCTTAAAACAGAAAATAAATACTGAACATACAGATGAAGAAAAAGGGAAGTGTGGCCATTGAGTTGTATATATCCCTTGACGACTTCTTCTGTAGCCTTCCGGAGTCCTTCTGAAGCCCCCTCCAGTTATAACTGACATTTGATTTAAAAAAAAAATCATGGCCTGCTTTCTCCTTCCATCTCATTTCTGAAAATTTCAAATCATGTTTTGAAGTTGTAGACTGTAAATGCAGATCTGCGTGAACAAGAGTTCTGATTACAAAATGGGTGCTAAAACTGAGCACCCTGTATGTTGGATATGTCAAGCTAAATTAATTTTACTTTGGTCTAAGAGGAGGAAACAATTTAGACTGAAAGCCAGCACACACAATATTCCATAAAAGCAATTTTGAGTTACATGAGGTCTAACTGCTCTAGCCAAGCTTTGATGGCAACGTATTACACTACAAGTACAAAGGGTAGCAATGTATGCATGAAAAAGGAACCCAATCGTGCTGGCAATTTACTCAAAAGTCAGTTTCAACCCCAGTGATAAGAATAAAAACTGACATTTTATCATTGACTGTGAATCCATGTTAAATTCCACAATTGCCAGCTTGCCCGGCAGGTGAATATTTCCATTGGCTTCATCATTTTGCTGTCATTCTGTTTATTGTGTGCCACAAAGTCCTGTAGGAAAAAGAGCCTCAGGAACATGCGGCTTTTATTCTGAATAATGGTGTTTTCATTTCCCCCTCCTGGTGGGCATTCTATCAGCAGTTTGTCATTGTTCCCACAAGTTTTAAAGACAATCTTATTCATCTTCATTTCTCCTATCCCCGTTTTTTCACTTAAGGAAAAGCTGACTCCCATAGATTCCACTGTATTAACTTATCCTGATAAAAGTTAAATTTTCCCCTACTGTGTTTTTGGAAAAGAATATTAAAGAACATTTACTGATAGCAATAACATCTCAGCTATTTGGAGGTCTTCCCAGCATATGAAAACACTTTCTGGAACTGCAAACTAATTCTCCTATGAATTAAAAAAAAACTATTTAAAAACTCAATTAACAGAACATTAGGCTATATAATTAATCTTCATTGTGTTTCAGTGAGTCTTCTCCTCAAATGAGTTTAATAACTCTCAAGAATTTTATTACAATGATCAATAGGGTAAATTCTCCAACACAGAGTAAGTTGACGATGAAAGATAATTAGACCCCTTTCCTCTGTAGTAATTAAGTCACATTCATCTTAAAGCACCATCCATCCTGATAACAACACTGGATCCTAGTGACAGTTATGTGAACATAATCTAAGATAATGCTTAGGAAATGAAAACTGAAAGAAGACCTACACAGATACACAAAATAGGAGATATTTCTGCCATGGTCTTTCCAGCACAATCAAGAGATTAAAAAACCCTTACTAAGTTTTCAGTCACTGCATTAGGTATATTAAACCTGATACAATTTGAAGCTGAATCAAGACAAAATTAGAGTGTGCAAGTGATTTTCTTACATTAGAGCAGGGGTGTCAAACTCGCAATATCACATGATGTGTCGTGACGTATTGCGGCTTTTTTGCCATTGCCAGCAATGGCGTGAGCGCGGTTTGGCTATGATGCATCTGGCCCACGGGCCGGCAATTTGACATCCCTGCATTAGAGTTATCAAAGATAAATTGTCTCCAGTCACTGTCCTTGTAATAAATTGACCACAAGAAGGCTGAGAATAGGGAAGCCGGAAAGATTCATATTTAGAAACAAATTGATCAGCATTTTTCTGCTGTTGAAGATTTTTTTTCACCAGGTTATTGGCAAACCCGTGTTTTTCCATTTTACCCTATAATAAAACCACGCCCACATTTTAAAACCAAAATTATTTGTCTTATCTTACAGAGATCTCTATTGTTAATCAGACCCACTTTATTAAGTTTTTTTATTAGATGCTCAGTAGACAATGTAGAGTTTTTAGAGGAATCTGTGCAATTTAGTGACCATTAAAATTAACAAGATTCCTTGTTTTCAAATTGACAATGAAATGAATACATGTCACAAGATAACGCTAGAAGAAAACAAGGTAGAAGAGACGATGCTGGGATAGGAGTTATAAGATATCTTGTTAGGCAGTGGACAGCCTAGGACAATGTTTTTCAGCCTCATTAGCAACTTTTAAGATGTTTGGACTTCAATTCCCAGAATTGAAGCACCCACAATTCCAGGAGGCAAGCTATTCCACTGCTTAATAGTTCTCATGGTCAGGAAATTCCTCCTTATTTCCAGGTTGGATCTTCCTCTGACAAGCTATGGGTGCTATGGAAAATAAACTAATGCCCTCTTCCCTTTGGCAGCCCTTCAAGTATTGGAAGACTTCTATCAAATCTCTCTCAGCCTTCTCTTCATGGTTAAGTAAACATACCTAGTTCCTTCTGCTGTTCTTGAGAGAATTTAACCCCTAGACCCCTTATCATCTTCATTGCTCTTCTCTGCACTCTTTCTAGGGTTACAGCATGGTAACCAGAATTGTGGACACAGAGTTCTAAATGTGACCTCATCGGTGTAGGATAGAGCAGAACTATTACTACCTTTGATTCATCAATACTCCCGTGTTTCATTAATATGTGTGACCACAGAGCTGTATAAAGGCAGGAACTCAGTACAAATATAAAAAAAACCCTGACCATCTGTTGAGAAGTCCTCTTTACCCCCAAATACTGTATTTCTTAACTACAGATATTCTCCTGAGCTAGTATTTCAGACTGGGCTCAGACTGGACAATGCTTTAACTCCCTGACATTACTTCCTGACACAGAATCCTTTGCCCCATGCAACTGAAGTTGGTATTGCAACAACTTAAAAATCCCTAACTAAATCAGGATCTCCTGTAGTCCACTGCTCTTGGGAGAAGAAATACTTTATCTTCCAAAAGTAACACCTTCAGGCATGACGTAAATGTCAAATTAAGTAGCAAGAGCATGTATTCTTCCCTCTGAGCAGAACACCATGTTATGTGCAGGCAGTTTGAGAAATTTCAGCCTGCCAACTCAGTTCTCATCTACTACCCTGGCCTGGTGTTTTCCAGAAGAGTTGGGGCGATCTCTGATTCCAAGATTGTGGAATTACACTCAACATATCAGAAGGGGCGTTGATACCAGGCTGAGGAAGCTACCTGATGATATTGTTGTGAGGCTGTGTCTTTCTTTATTTTGTAAATGATCTGAGAAATACGCTTGGGGCATGTTAAGACATATTACAGACAGGAAGAGAGAAAATTCAACATTAGGGATATCTCCACCATAATTGCTCTTCTGTTGCTCTCTCTGGATCAAATAGAGCAATAAATACTTGTCCTGTAGAGAGATTACAAGCATGAATGATCACAACCTATCAAAGCAGGGTATTTTGGCTGGAAAGCAAAAAGGTACCTGTTGTTATAACATACCATTGGTGGAGAGAAGGAAATAGGCTGCATTCTGCTGTGGGAGCCATCGTATTTTATTGATCTTTTCCTCTATCTCTAAGCTCTTCAGGTAATCGAACTCAGGTTCATGGCTCTGGAATGTGCTGTAAACATTATATTCTCCCCTGCGATGGGGCTGATTTTTGCTCTGCGGGAGTGGGAAAGAAACATAAAGAGATTCTTAGACGTGCCAGAGCTAGCAAATTTTCAATTGATTCTTTTGTTCTCTGAAGATTGTTAAAAGAGAGGAAAAATGTCTGATTACGGTGACACATTGCAGTTTGGGTACCAAAGCAGAGCTATTTCTTGCACAATGCCTTCTCCTCCTGTGTCACTTTCTATGTTCACCAATGACAGGAAGCAGGAAAAGCATCTCTGTTTCATTTTGATTCAAGAATGCATCAAGGTCTCCCTATCACTCAACTTAAAGACAAATTGGCATGAAGCAACAATCACTCCCTTCAATGAACAAATCCAACTTGACTGGTGTGCAAAATTCTCTCCCACGGAAAGTACCCAGTTCTAATTTACAAACCAACCACACATTTAATATAATAAATAATTTCACACAGTAACGTAAACTTAAATATCTGGAATACAGTTTCTAATAAAAGTGTTGGGGGGGGGGGACCAATAAAAAATAATAAATGAAAGGACTGAAGAAGATATTAGCAAAATCCTTCTATATTTAGGCTAGTATTGGGCAATAAATGGAGGGGAATGGAAGATAATGTCACTAAAAACTTTCCATAATGTTTTTACTCTGTAGCCGTTCTTTCTTACTTTGCACTTTATATATGTTAAAGGCTTAAATAAATAACAGAGTAATAGAAATATAGCAGTAAAGTGAACCAAATGACTCATATCTGACTTTTTTTTTTTTCAAAGGAGTAAGAACATGGTATTGAAGAACTTCTGAATGATACTATCTGGCTATACTGAAATGAGAAATCTGGTTTGTATCTGCAGAGCAGTACTTAAGGTAGAACTAAAACTCACAGTTTCTCATTTTTAGTCTAGCACCTTAACCACTACACCAATCAAAATATAATATTTACTAATATGGAAAAAGGTTATTAAAATCTGCTTTATTTTATGTGTATATTTAGTTTTTCTTATATGTTTGCATAGATCCAGAGCATCATTCAGGAGCACAATGCAACCCATCAATAGACACTATAACAAAGCTTGGTATATCTTTATGTTACACCAGTTTAGGAAGAGTAGGGATCCTGCTAATTAAAAACAAACCAGACTTTAAAAGCATTACAACTAAATTCTCCTTGTATTTATGAGTTTCAGCAGCAGAATGAAATCCTCTGCCAGCAATCATTGTTCCAAGATGCAAAAGGATTCAAGAAAATCCAACATTTGTATGGTGTTCTTTAAGAAAGAAGCTGCCCAATTGATCTTAATGGCCCTTTTTTTTTTTTTTTTTTTTTTTTTTGCAATTTTCTGTGTGCTGCATAGAAGCAGGGTAAAGAGTGACACACAAAGATTAGGAAACAGCAGGAAACTTCTTTTAAAAGGATAAAAATGGGCATTTTTGAATTCACCAGCACTTACCTCCTGCTCACGTTGAAATATTACAACACGACCCCCCTTGTCCCCTGTCGCTAGTAATTCTCCTGTGTGGTTGAATTCTACTGTCGAGATAATGTCAGCTAAAAAGAAAGAGACAAAGGCAATTTAAGTTAACTGCAGACCAGCTTTGCACTGGCATCCCAGAACATCACTGCCTATACAGTTAAGAGGTAGAATGCTTGCTAAGCCTTTGCCTCCCTGGTATAATTTTTATGGAGCACTTAGATTTCCAATTACACTTGAATCTTGTTAAAGGGATTCATAAACATTATTACTGAAGAATTCAGCTAGTCCTTCGACTTATAACAGTTCATTTAGTGACTCTTCAAAGATATGACACTGAAAAAAGTGACGTATGACCATTTTTCACACTTATGACCCTTGCAGCATCCCCATGGTCACGTGATCAAAACTCAGACACATATCAGCTGACTCATATTTATAACGGTTGCAGTGTCCTGGGGGTCATGTGATCACCTTTTGTGACCTTCTGACAAGCGAAGTCAATGGGGAAGCCAGGTTCACTTTAACAACTACATCACTAACTTAACAACTGCAATGATTCACTTAACAACTGTGGCATGAATGGTCATAAAATGGGGCAAAACTCACTTAACAAATGTCTCACTTAGCAACATACATTTTGACCTCAATCATGGTCCTAAGTTGAGGACTACCTGTATTGTGGCTTTAAACTCCATTCAAACACTTTCAGTATGACACACACACACACACACACACACACACACACACACACACACACACACACACACCTTTCCCCGCTTGTGCTGATGGCACAAGGCCTATGGCCTTGGCAAAGGCCAAATAACTGATTGGAGGAAGACACTGATTGGCCAACAGCTTATTAACTGTTCTTCACTTAAAAAAGAAAAAAAAATCAAGGCAGTATATATTTCTAGTGTTAGAAAGAAACATGCCATCTTGGAATAATCATTTTGTTTGTTTTAAGATGCATAGGTTTAAGAGGATGAGTTGTGAATCTTTCTCACCTTAACTAATAATTACTGGAACAACTCAGGATCTAAAACAGCACCAGAGACTTGTATAATTATGTCACATAGGACAGAGTTCCCCAACGTTTCTGGCTTTGCAGACTGGCGGGGGGGGGGGGGAGAGAAAAGAAGGAAAAGTTCTGTGTGAGCAGCCGGCAAGCGCACATGCATGCATGCAGCTCTATTTTACATGTGGCATGCATGCACGCCTGCCGCTCACACAAATGGAGCATGCTTGCCCAATGCTCAAGCAAGTGGGGATGTGCGTGCATACACACGTGCTCACCAGCTGTGTCCATGGCCTGGTTGCAACCCCCTTGCGGCCCACATGATGGGGATCCCTGACATAGGAGACTTACAGTTTTGATTGGCAAGTGGAAGCCAAATTATCTTTTCTAGCTCTTGAATTGCAATTGACAGAAATGTGATTCCACAGAAAGGGTCAGCATCTCTCATAATAATAGATTAATTTGTTTCTACTACAAATTGACTAGTAAGATTCAGTAACTCTTCCAGCACATATCCTATTCCCTGCCTCAAATCCATGAAACAATACGAGATATTTCGTGACTCTTCTCATTTAGAGCATCAGGAAATAGCAACAGGTAACTAGAAACTTTGTAATATTAAACCCTTCTTTCTTTTCCCACTGTTTTCCATCAGTTGGATCCACTCCAATAGAATCGGCTTTCAAAAGATGCACTATCCTGCATAACTGACCTATTCATAACCACACACAGGACGTATACAGTATAGACATGCAATGTTTCAAATTAAATTCTATATTAATGGCACAATATGGACAGGAGCACATTACTTTTTTATTGCAACAGTGAACAAATAATCTCTCCTCTCTCTGGAGTAGCCTCTGGGTAGGTCTATCATTTTCCAGTGGGAAGAACATCATAGGTCAAAAGAAGAGTTGGCCTCATTAGGGACACTCTGATTTCGCAAAATAAATCACTTGAAGGACTAAAAGGAGTGCACGTTTGCCTTCCCTATTTGTCCTTCTCTCAATTCCTAATGCATTAATGTCCCCAATCTTAATGAAGGATAGACAAGAAAGCATCAGTCCTGGGAAAAAGTCCAGAACTGAGAAGAGAATGGAACTTGATGAAACAAAGGAAAAAAAATCCTTTAGATGGAAAAGAAAGGCCAAACAAAGAGGATTTTCCAGTTTTTGAATTATTACTGAAGTTCATATAAGCCATCTAGCTGCCCAATCTTCAAATAGTAAAGAAGTAGCACAATTACAAACACACTCATTCAGAAATTAAGTCTCATGGGTTATCTTGTATTTAAAGTTTCCCCAAATCCATGCACTCCATATTTTCTTATACAGTATTAACAGTTCAATGATGCTAATGCTGATTTTTTAAAATTATGTTTTTGGACAACTCATACCTAATACTTCTGTTTCCTATTTTCCCACACAGCAACAACCTGGTGAAGTTGGCTGAGCTGAAAGAGAGTGATTGGCCCAAAGTCAAAGAACTGGGTTTCATGCCTAAAGTGGGACTAAAACTCACTCTCCTAGTTTCTAATCCAGCAGGTTCACCACTACACAAAGTAGTCCCTCTTTTGCCACATTGCCCAGTCCTCAAATCAGTTCCTAGGTCATAGGTTCTAGAAATCCACATGGAGAGAAGTAAGCAGTGGGGTACCACAAGATCCATCTTAGGCCCAGTACTCTTCAATACCTTCATAAATGACTTAGATGAGGGAATTGAAGGGGAGCTCATCAAATTTGCAGATGACACCAAACTGACAGGAGTAGCCAACACCCCAGAAGACAAACTCAGGATCCAAAAAGATCTAGACAAACTTGAACAATGGGCCCTATCCAACAAAATGAGTTCCAATGTGGAGAAAAGCAAAATCTTACAGGAAAAACCAAAGGTATAAATACAGATTGGGCGAGACCTGGTTTAAAAACAGTAACTGTGAGATGGACCTTGGAGTCCTAGTGGACAATCACTTGACTATGAGCCAGCTGTGTGCAGCAGCAACCAAAAAAGCTAATACAATCAGAGGCATAGAATCAAGATCACACGAAATATTAGTACCGCTTTATAAAACCCTAGTAAGACCACACCTGGAATACTGCAGCCAATTTTGGGTCACCATATCACAAAAAAGTTGTTGAGAGTTTGGAAAAAATTCAGAGAAGAGCAACTAAGATGATCAAAGGCCTGGAGACTAAAACATATGAGGAATGGCTGCAGGACTTGGGTTTGGCTAGTCTAAAGAAAAGAAGAAATAGGGAGACATGATAGCAGTATTCCAGTATCTGGGGGGGGGGGGAGCTGCCATAAGGAAGAGGGACAAGAAACAATGGTTGGAAACTGATCAAAGAGAGAAGCAACCTGGTATTAAGGAGAAACTTCCTGACAGTGAGGACAATCAACAGTGACTTGCCTCCAGAAATCGTGGACGCTCCACTACTGGAGATTTTAAAGAAGAGACTAGACAATCACCTGTCTGAGATGGTATAGGTTCTCCTGCTTGAGCAGGGGGCTGGACTAGAAGACCTCCAAGGTCCCTTCCAGCTCTATTCTATTCTATTCTATTCTATTCTATTCTATTCTATTCTATTCTATTCTATTCTATTCTATTCTATTCTATTCTATTCTTATTATTATTTAGTACTGACTCATCTTTGCAACTTAAAATATAATGCAATATATTATACAACTAAAAGAAAAACAAAGACTCTGATGCAGAGAAATTACAAATAATGTGTTTTTAAAAAGCAGCATGGGAAAGGGTTTGCACTGCGTCAAGGTAAGCAGGAAACCTGCTGATGAGTAGTTTTATCAGAGCTATTGTTAGGGGGAAAAAAGTCAGAGGTTAATTTTACTGCAATTACTCCCTCTCTGCCTTCAGTGATTACATTCGAGTGCAGATTTCAGCAAACGCGAAGCATGACTGAGAAAGGACAGAGAAGGCTTCAGAGGTAGGAATACTGCTAACTACATTTTCTTTAAAAAACAACAACGAAGCTTTCACACATTCTGAACCTTTGGCATCCGTCTTCACTGTGAGAAGACTAGATCCAATGGTGTTACTTGTTTTAAATCCAGTATTTACATAAACTTTTCCAGTTTTTTTAGACGTTTTCAGTAGTGCTGCAGCTAAGAGAAGCATAAATATCGGAGTACTGTAACTTTCTATAGTCATGCCTAATAAAAAGACTTAGAAATGCAATCATAATCTTGAAATGAGATATGCATAACCTTTGGATGCCAGAAGGAACCAGAATGTGTGCATTTTTTGTGCGTTTGAAGTCATGGGCTGTTTTGGAGGTAAGACTAAACTATGATCTGTGTGAATAGCACAGCCTTGGTTGTACATGAATCCCTCTTCTTTTCTGCCTAAGATTGCTGCAAAAAAGAAGAAAACAGAAAGGTTTGATTTTGGATTTGATTGAACTAACACAATCCCTTCCATCCAAACTCAGATAACTGCAGCTATTCATACTATAGGAGTCATTATAGGCTTGGAAAGAATACTGGTTCTCAACATTAACTGCAATCCAACAATCATCATAATATGTGCTTGTTTGCACACTTACGTACTTGATAAATACAGTTGCTCATCTCACATTTACTCTAGCTGGCTTACAATAAAACAACTAAAATCCATAAAATACAAAAACCAAAATAAAAACACAGATATGTTTGTGTTTGTGTGTGTGTGTGTGTCTGTATGTAAATATGTATATACACACACACATATATAAAATGTAAGTAAGTATGCATTTAATTATTCTTGCCAGAGTTATATCTTAATTCAGAAAAGAATACCAATAAGCAAAACAATAAGATGCTATTTAATACAGTACCACTTCCTATGGTCACAAAAAAATTGTTTTACAAGGTGATTTTTCAGTTCAGCCATTGTATTTCATTCTAATTTCCCAAGCAAGTATTTTTCTTCCCAGCTGGTAGCTTGTGCTGCCTTATCATCAGAGGGCTATTTCCATAATGCTAGTGTAAAAACCTTTGCAATGCCGATTCTTATATGCAGCACATGGAGCTTTTCCCCCAGAATCTTGCTAATTCTCC